TCTTCTTTTCCGAGAACTTATGAACTTCACCCCTAATTCTGAGTTCATTCCTCGTTTTTGCTCCTTGAGATTCTTTATGGAGCTCCTTAAACCCAATTCTTCCAAGGATACCTGCAAGATCCGCTCTTTTTTTTCTTTCTTGTCCTCATCTTGAGCGGTGAATTACTTGTTCATGATGATCCTTAACTTGTTTCTGCATTCTTTCACAGGATCAATCCATACATATTCTTGTAAACTCCAAAAATAAAATCCATATGATCAAGGTTAGAATAAGAAAACAAAGAAGAAAGGTCAAGTGAATATTTCTCTAGTATGTCCAAGATTATTTGTTTCACATTCTCTTCTACCAAATGTTGCAAATGTGGAAAGGTGGATGGAGGTTTGAACTCTTCTTCCGTTGCTTCACACTCAACCACATCCTTATTCTCGATCATGTCAGTTGAATCAGAGTCTTCTTGTATCGTAGAAATCTCCCTTTGTAGACGCTCATCCTCTTGAGTAGCTCATTCTCGCAAGGTATCTCCTCCATATATTCCCCGTTACAATGCAATGAGCTTTCTGAAAGTGTACTTATTATTTGACTCACTTGCATTGTTAGGTTATTAATGGCTTCATCATCTTGTATAAATCTCTCTATCGGCTTATTTATGAACTTATACACAAGCTCTTCCAAACTATCATTCTCCCCTTGAGGTGGTTGTGTCTAATTTCACTTTCACTATAATAAAGGTATTCATCCCAACCAGAGTCAAGATTGTGCCCATATGAATTCTCATACTTGTACGAACTAGAAGCAGAGTGAGACTGTTCAAAATACGAACCATAGGAAGAATACATACTTGTTTGATAGTCAACCCATAGATGATTTCCACCGTATTTAAAGCACATAGCAGACCATTGATAATATTTAGCTGCTAACTCATCAACCGTCTTCTTAGGCTGGTTGTACTCCATCTTCACACCATTTAGAGCTCAATATCTACAGTATCTTCTCCAACTTTTTAGGTACTACAAAACAAATCTTGAAAAGAAGTTAACAAATAATGAAAATAAATAGAAAGGGAAAAGGAAAAAAAATAAAACCTAATTCCTGAATTAGCACCACAAACTATTTCAAACACTGTTGATTGCCAATCCCCGGCAACAGCGCCAAAATTTGATGACCTAAAAACACAACACAAAATTATTCTCGCTAGTCGAATATAGTATAAAAAATATCGTATCCACGGGGGATTGGATTTAAACAGTGTTTTCGCAGCTTCTAGTTTTAATTGCTATCCAATATGATCAACAATTTAGAGTTGTGTGATTTAAAACTAAAATTTACTAAAAGTCTAAACTATTGGCTAGTGACAATCACAACAAGAGTAAGCAAGAAGATAACAAATGGAGAAAATAGGGGTTGATTGGATAGGTGTAAGATACTTGTTTGGGAATTAACTCTAGTTACTTCACTTCTGTGGTTCAAGTGAGTCTCTCGAATTCACTCTATTATATTCAAACATTCAGTAGAAACTCCTCTCTCGATTAAGTCTCAACCTTACGATATGAACTAAGTTAAGCTTGGTGAATATATGCAAGAATTCGCAGTGAATTGATCCTTAGGAGAACCTCTTTCGATTATCCTCCTAACCAAGTTTAAATATAAATTCAACTAGCCTCTTTCAATTACTAACAAGTATCAATGAATTCAACCAATAAGATAATATAAAACATTACAAATTATGCCTCTTTCGATTACATAAGTAAGAGAATATATATGCAATAATAAAAACACCCAAAACGATTAAATATATAAAACTAGAGTTAATATCTACAAACAATTCTCAAAACACTAAATTCATCAATCCTTAAGAAAGAATTACTCCATGGATATAGAGAAATTAATCACAGTTAAGTTTAAGTCAAAAGAAAACATAAAACATCCAAACCCTTGTCTTGAGTGAGGATGAATGGTGAAATCCTTGTGCTCTTGCTTCTCCCTCTTCTCCTTAGCTTCCTTAGGTCTAAATTATGTCAAAAGTCCCAAATATACCGTTTTTCCATGTATATATACCAAGTAGGTTTGGGCTCAAACACATACACCTTCTCCTACATGAAAAAGGACACCTTTCCCGGACAGAACGTGCGCGGCTGCACACCTGGAAGTGTGCCCGCGCACTTGGCCGCGCACTTTTCACACTGTTCTACCCCATATGCTCGGTCAGTGCGCGGCCGTGCAATTATCGTGCACGTTTCACCCTGTTCCGTTAGGAATTTGAAAAACCGTAAAACATAAAAGTTGTAGCCCTTTGAATTAGCTTTCCAACAATATATTGTGGAGCCCAAACAAAGTTGCGAGCTAAAGGTTATGTACATGCTTCTAGACGCTGCACAATATGCATGCTCGATTCTGTGTTCGTTCTAAACTATCATCCGTTGATCCCCGAACACGATCCCGGCTTAATTTCTTGATATTTTACTCAGACTTCCAATCTTTAAATCACTTGAATTCATTCTATAATATCTACATAGCTCGGAATCACTCCTACAAGGTATAAAACATACAATTAGTGCAAAACACTAGTGATTAAAGCTCAAACTCAACTAAAGTGCAGTAAATTGGAATGTAATAGTTGACTAAAATATGAGATTATAGCCTACCATCAACCTTCCTCCTATTATAAATCTTCCTTACATCCAAGTTAGGTTCATGCTATGTCCAAAGAGATTCAAACTCTTGAAAATAACAGGACTTGGGAGGTGGTAGAATTACCTAAAGACAAGAAAGCTCTACCTTGTAAATGGGCTTACAAGGTAAAATATAAACAAGATAGGTCGCTTGAAAGGTATAAAGAACGATTGGTTGTAAGGAAGGACATACAAATAGAATACATAGACTTTACCGAGTATCTTGTAATTCTATTTTTGTTACTAATGTTTCCTCCAGTTGCTTTACCTCCCCTATTACCCCTCATATCTTGTCTTTTTCAGCTTTGTCACACTTCAACAAAACACTTTTAAATTCAGTTTCTTATATGTCAGAACCTTCCTCCTATTATCAAACTTCCCCAGGTTAGGTTCAGGCTATGTCCAAAGAGATTCAAACTCTTGAAACTAACAGGACTTGGGAGGTGATAGAATTACCTAAAGACAAGAAATCTCTGCCTTGTAAATGGGTTTTCAAGGTAAAATACAAACAAGATGGGTCAATTGAAAGGTATAAAGCACGATTGGTTGTAAGGGGGACATACAAAGAGAAGGCATAGATTTTACCGAGACCTATTCATCGGTGGTGAAAATGACTACTACTAGGTGCTTATTGACTGCGACAATTAAAAAAAAATTGGGAAGTTTTTCAACTAGATATTAATAATGCCTTCTTGCATGGTGATTTGCAAAAAAGAATTTTACATAAAATTTCCCGATGGCCTCTCCCCTCCTCCGCCTAATCATGTGTCTAGACTCAAGAAGTCACTTTATGGGTTGCGACAAGCATCAAGACTGTGGTATGCCCGACTCATCGCAACCCTAAACATCAAAGGCTTCTTGCACTCACTCAATGATTACTCCCTTTTCTTTAAACATTCAGAGGGGAAAACAACTTTCATTACAGTTTACGTGGACGATATACTACTAATAGGGAATGATCCATTAGAAATTGCATCACTCAAATATTTTCTTGATTCTAAGTTTAGAATTAAAGATTTTGGTAAGGCTCATTATTTTCTTGTTTTGAAAATCATTCGGGAAACACAAGGAATAATTCTAAGTCAACGAAAATTCACCTAGGATTTGCTGACGGAATTTGGTTGTCTGGCCATGAAGCATATTTTTGCTCCAATTGATCCCTCTTGTCATAGTCGTATGGATGTTGTCCACTTCTTATCTGATCTCACATTCTATCGAAAGCTCATAGGTAAGTTGAATTACCTCACTCATACCTGTCCAGATCTATCCTTCACAGTACAGCTTCTCAGCCAATACATGCAAACTCCTCGAGTTCATCATTTTGAGGCTGCAATACGTTGCCTTCGTTCTCTCCTCACAGATCCGAGTTTAGGCTTGTTCTTGTTTCTTCATCATCGTTTACTTTGGTAGCTTTTCGTTACTTCGATTGGGGCACGGAAATCCATTAGTGGCTATTTTATTTCCCTAGGTAGGGTTCCAATCTCTTAGAAATCAAAGAAACAATCTTTGGTTTTTCTATCCTCCGCGGAGGACGAATACCACTCAATGTGTCGCGTGATTGTAGAGGTCACATGGTTGGTACGAGTTACATAAGATCTCTTCGTTTCTCCTTCTTTGCCAGTGTCTCTTCACTCTAATAGTCAAGCTACGATACACATCACCAAAAGTTCTGTCTTCCATGAATGCACCAAACACGTTGATCTCGACTGTCACTTTGTGCACAACAATACCTCACCAAACTTATATCTTTGTCGTATGTACTTTCGATTTCCCACATTGCCGATATATTTACAAAATCCCTTTCTGGGACTTCACACAGATCCATTTTGGGCAAGTTGGAGATTGTTTCATATCCCTCCAACTTGAGGGGAAATGTCTGTGATATGACGTTCATCAAAAGGTGAGGATAATTTGTAACCAAAACTTAAAGAGAAGGAAGGTGGATTTGTGAAGAATTAGTTTGATACAAACAAGGTTAAGTGAAGCTCTTGTCTGAAGAGGTTTTGATATTTAGTTTAAGCTTAATACAATCGGGTCAAGCAGTCATTGGACTCAAATTATTTCTCGTTTGGGGCCCAATACACTGAAGCCCACTCAGATTTTCTAGAAGGAATTAGAAGTATCTAACCAGAAAATAAATAGTATTTGTTTTTCTTTATTTCTGTATATATCTAGTAGGTACTTATATCTTGACAAATAAACATAGGACATGTGAATAGTTAATTATACAAAATATTCTTTCATTATTTTTCTACTATCTAATAAGAGGCAGTTAGCAGGCACCTGGACGACATGCCTGCCTCCCACTTCAAGGGTAATATTGTCTTTCCATCTAATTTTTATTAGCTTCGCTTGGATTATATCGACCACTTTGGAAAACCTGGCAATCACCGCTTCTTTGGCTTCTTTCTTCTTGCTCTTCTTGTTCTTATCGGTGCCAGGCAGACACCTCCTTGAGAAACTTGGCAGATGCAGGTTCTCTGTATCAAAAACCAATCTAGCAATAGTTTAAAAGCTCCAGCGTCTGGAAATTGCAGCTTCCCAGTTCCACCTTTTCGTTCCTTGCAGTTCCTGATCTTATCTTCGCACTTTCGCCAATTTTTCTCTTTGGCTCATTGTTTCTTGTGAGTTTTCTTCTTCTTATCTTCTGTTTCTCTATTTAAATCTTTCATGGCATACTAAGGCTTTACTGCACGGAAAGTTTAATGTGTCTATCACCTTTGTTCTTTAGGTGTTCGACGCAATTCCTGAATGAACTACTATTGTTTTAGGTTTAACTACACCTAACAAGAGCTCCCTTCTCTTGTTCCTTTCGTGCACCCCAAATCACTAAGCTAAAGAAATTATATCGTTTTTGGATGACAAACAACTAAATGAACGTTGATGTGTTAAAGAAGAAGAAAGAAAGAAAAGAATAAATTGTGAACAATTTCTGATGGTAGGTGTGCTAAATGGAAGAAGACAAAATTCTACCTTACATTTGAATCATGTGGTTAGAAGTGAATGATTTTTTGGTCTTAATAAAAGAAAAGCGGAGCTCCTACGGCATTTGGGGCAGTTCAAAAGCAAATCAATTCCCCAAATTGAAACTTCTATTTCGTCGAATGGATCGAAGTAAGATTTTGATAGGTTCAATATGTGTCCATCGCCTTTGTTCTTTAGGTGTTCGAGGCAATTCTTGAATGAATTAGGCTTTTTTTTTATTTCTACTATTTTTGGGGGTATAGCTGGCTTAACTAAAGGGCTCTCAAAAGTGTACGAATTGAACTAAATTATCCATGCCTTGTGTCTTTTTCTCAAAAAGAAGAGAAATTTCAATATTAAGTTTGCGATAAGCACTTTAATTGCCTGTTTTCGCCACTTGGTCTTTGTGGGTGACACTTTGAAACTTAAAGTAACACCTGCATGTAAAGTTACCATCTTATTTTCGATGATATTGTGATATAGATAGAGCTATTTATTTTTGGTTCACATTGATAAGCTATTTCACTTACGTAGAAGATAATATTCAGAACGATGAGAAGAAGATGCTATTTTAGCCGTAGAAGCTACTAAATACCAATTTGAGTCTGGTAGCATCTTGATTTCTTGATATAGGACATAGAAAAGAAAAAACTAATTTCTCATGAAACACTATTCTGCCTTTCCTATAGATTACATGCATATACTTATTTTATGTACTTAGATCCTTTCTTACTTTTAGTTTTCTTGGCAATGTTTACGAATAAGCAGTGCTTAAACATCGTAAACTTGTTTACGAGCTTCTTATAAGACCAACAGAAGATTGGATTACATATTATGTAATGACACGTTTTAAATTGGCTACGTACCCAACTCTGAACGAAAAAGAGCTACCAAGATTCCAAGAGGATATCCTGATTTGAGAACTATATATTCATTGGAAGTAAGTAGTGTGTTGTTGTTTTAGCTCTTCCTGTTCTTATCTTTATACTTTGGTGAATTTTTCTGTTTGGATCGTTGCTTTCTTGTCATCTTCTGTTTCTCTGTTGCATTTTTTATGGCATGCTAAGGCTTTGCGCACATGAAGTTTAATATGTTAGTCGCTTTTGTTCTTTGTGCTTCAGAAAATTCTTGATTGAATCAGTCATATCATTGGCGGTAATTTTGATTTTGGATAAGCGGTGACACATTTTTTGGCTTGAATATTTCATGAAAAATTTGGGCTGAAAATATTTTTCAGATAAAAAGAAGTTGAACTTGTATAGCTGATGGATTCCAAAGAACCAAACAAGTGCTCTTACGCGGAAAAAAGAAAGGCTGCAATGCAACTCAAACGGCGTGATACGCAAAGCCAAATATCTGCTCATAGCGGGGAAGCGATGTTGCTATCGCGACGCATGAGAAGAAAACATTCTACTAAGCACAGCCTTCTTCAAAGCCCGTTTTTTGCTGTCCCACAGCAATCAACATCATCTTGGGACAAAGCAGGATTTCTAAAACAAACTGCTCTTACCATACGAGAACCTCCTCCACTTCCTGAAAAAGATTATATTGTTTTACTCATATTTACACACCATATATTATTAATGCAATGGTGCTTATGTATTTTGCTTGGAAACTTAGTATGATACTTTATTTATCTTATATGTGCTTATAAACTAAAATACTCAAACACTGCGTGGTCTATTGCACTTTATTTTGCACCTACAGAGGCTTCACTATACGTTTTTAAACGTCTTTGCTATTCTGTTTTTCTAGTAGTCGGCCATCAAGCTTGCACGCCTACATCGTGGGATAATTTAGAAAAAGGAAAGGGTATATTGGATCCCCCTATCATTTGTGAAACAGGTAACCATACGAGAACCCCTTTCGCTTCCTGAAAAATGTTATATATTGTTGTACTCATATTTATACACTATTTATTATTAATATAACGATGCTTATTTTGCTTGGAGATTGGAGATTATCACAGCTTATTTATCTTATATGTATCTATAAACTTAAAAACATAAATACTACGTGCTCTTTTAATTTTGCATCTATTAAGGGTTCGTTGCACGCTTTTAAACATCTTGGCTATTCTGTTTACCAGCTGCTACCTTAGCCTGTATGCTTACATCATCTCCTAATTTAGACAAAGGAAAGGGTATATTGGACCCCCCCTATCATTCGTGAAACAGGTAAACATACATTCAGATTATACTCTTTTCAGAATGACATATTGTTTATACATTACTGTAAATTGTGACTATTTGTATATTAGGGTCCACATCGGGTACATCTAACCTGCGTCATGTTATCTTGAACACTGTTCCAATCAAAGGTTTGCACAAACTTAATGTTACAATCATGTCCACCATACGTATGCCTTGGTGCTCTNGGTGCTCCTTTTTTTCCTAATGATACTTCTTATATATTCAGCTCATAGGCGGGCCAGAAAGGTGTGCCTGGTCACTAAAGAGCAACGAAGTGAGTATGTTGCTCTAAAAAGGGTCCCAAACTGTCAATTCTGTCATGCAAAGAAGTTTGAATATGAACCTCCAGGATTTTGCTGTAACAGTGGTTCAATAAGGTTGACATCTCATAAAATGCCAACTGAATTATCGGAGTTATACTTTGGAAATACTGAAGAATCTGAAAATTTTCGAACTTATATTAGAACATACAATAACATGTTTGCATTTACTTCACTTGGTGTCAAGTATGATAAAGAGCTAGCGAGAAGAAATTGTGGTATCTACACATTTAGAGTCCAGGGACAGATGTATCATTTTATAGATGATTTAGTTCCTTCCAATGAAAAACCTAGGAATTTATAGCTGTACTTCTACGATAATGATAATGAACTAGCCAATAGGATGGCTTGTTGGACAAGAATTAATGAATCAATTGTGAAAAAGTTGATGGACATATTGAAGGTAAAATCATATACTATTTTTCTAAAATCTCTTTTAAATGTTCCCCAATTATCTGATTTCTATATTGCTCTTAAATGTCACTCAACCTTAGATCAACAAACATATAACTTACCCAGTACATAAGAGATTGCGGCATTATGGCTTGAAGAAAATCCTAGAGACACATCTGCACCACATATTTGAATTTATACCCACAGTAATAGAGCTCGGTTAGTACATTATTATTATGGATGTTACGATCCGTTGCAGTATCCATTATTATTTTCCTTCGGTGAAAATGGATGACATTGTGGAATTAAAAAAATTATTCAGACAAAAAATTCGACGAAACGTAGAGCTTACTGCGAACATGAACAATTGCCCAGTATATCAAATACGTGTTCAGTTGATGGATTCCTTGATATGGAAGATGAATCACTACAAAGAGGAAAACGAAAAAGAGATACAGTGTCTTGTCGAGAGTATTATTGTTACAAATTTCAACTAAGAAATAATGAAACAAATGAAGTGTTACATTGTGGGAGAATATTCCAACAATTTATAGTAGATATATATATATAAAGCTTAAAACGCAAAGATTAGACTTTTTCTCATTTAATCCAGATTTATTTAGAATTGAAGTCTTGCAAGGACTCCTTGATATTTTAAGATGTGGTGAAAGGGAAGCCTCTAAAATTGGAAAGAAAACATTCCTTCATGTTACATTTATAGGGGGACCAAGGGACATGCGACGACGATACATGGATGCTATCACATTGGTACAATATTTTGGAAAACTTGATTTCTTTATAACAATGACATGTAATCCTGCTTGGCTAGAAATAAAAGAATATTTATCGCTGGCTTGATGAGGTACAGAACAGACCTGATTTAGTTAGTAGAGCTTTCAGAGGAAAGGTAGAAGAATTAAAGATGGATATATTAAAAAGATAAATCTTTGGAAGAGTTGCAGCATTCATGTATACTATAGAATTTCAAAAACATGGTCTTTCACATGCTCATTTCCTTATTATACTTGCTGATGAACACAAATTATTGACTGCTGAATCCTATGATAAATTTGCCTGTGCAGAATTGCCTGATTCTATCGCGATCTATATTCACTTGTTATTAAACATATGATGCATGGTCCTTGTGAAAAGTTAGATCCTACAAATATTTGCATGAAAAATAATAATTGCAAATTCAAGTATCCAAAAGATTTTGCTGAACAAACATCAAAAGGGAATAATTCATATTCAATATACAAAAGGAGAAGAATCAGAGAAGCTGTAGAAATAAGAGGTCAGTTTCTGGATAATTCTTGGGTTGTTCCATACTAAGTTACTCGGATTCGGGTGCAGGTGTCCGACACGGGTGCGGATCCAAAGGTCGGATCTTTCATGGTCTAAATTTTAGGATTCAAGGATACGGATCTAGGTACGGGTACGGGTACGGGTGCGGAGATTCGGCAAAAATAAGTTAAAAATCTAGAAATATAGTTATAGAGATATGCATAATTATGAGAGATTATATGGAAAACTTACGTGTAACTTGTGCCTTGTAGAGTGTAGTAATTGAGTCATTTAGTTTTCAAGTTGTAGGCAGGCACGTAGACACTCTCCAAAATGGCATGATTCATTAATTTTCCTACAACTCGCACAACAAAGTATTAAAATAAGTTATTATAAACTTGTTGAAATATAACAAATAAAAGTTATAAAGAGATTTAGAGATACAAAAGAAATGAAACATACCTTTGGAAGTTAGAACTTAGAACTAAATAGACTAACATATATTCAAGAGTCACTATTCAAAAGTTTTAAATAATTAGCTATTCAAATTAAGTTACTCAAATGACCACCAAAAAGTCTTACAGAAATTGTAAGTTCACAAGTTCATAGACAAAAAATAAGTACATAGCATACACATTTAAACTACGCTAGATTTGTCACTTGAAACATTGTGCATGGGTACATTCTATTCAAAGGTCATCTTCCTCAATCTCTTCAATGTCAACTTCTTGCAAATCTTGAACTTCCTCTTCAAAGAAGACTCCTTCTAGTTGAGGTTCGTCTATTGACAATTCAACTAGATCATTGATACTTTCATCAATATTAAAATAATCCCCACCTAAAACAACACCAAAATAAATTTAGAAGATTGTGAAAGGAACTTATCATGCTAAAGAAATTACTCAAGAAATATCAAATCATGGATATGTATGTATACGGATATACCTAAATCCCAATATTTGCTTGGGCCATTTGTATACTTTTCCTTTCTTCGAGAGAGCAAGCGAAGATTATAATGGATAAAAACTAAATCTTCGGCTCTAGAAGTAGCTAGCTTGTTTCTCTTGATGCTATGAATCAATGAAAAAGTACTCCAATTTCTCTCGCAACAAGATGAAGAAGCTAGCTGGGAAAGCAATTTGTAAGCCAGACTTTGTAAAAGTGGAGTATTTACACCATGGTTAGCCCACCAAGATAAAGGCTCCTCATACCCCATAACATCAATTACATGAGACTCACCAAAGTAACCATTCCCACAACAAAATGCCCCATGCTCCAAAGAAGCTTTCTTTAAATCATTCGGATTCTTGAAATATCTTTGAAAGCATTTGAGCCTATTTTGTGAAATTTCTATATCTTCATTAGGAGCAAATCTTCTTAACCCGTTGCTTTCACCTTTAAGCCATGACTCATGATAATATTTTGGAACCAATGAATGTGCCATGCAATGCAATGGAGTATTACTCTTATTCCACCTTGCCACAAGAATTCCTTGAATTGTAGCAAAAACATTCGATTGGCCGGTAATAAGATCTTTCCCCTCATGCTTAAATACAATCACCTTCACCTTTTCAATCATTGTATCCCACATGTCGTAAATAAGGTACAATTTTGGACAATCAAGGTCGGCACTTCTAAGCGTGGATACAATTGGCTCTGTACACCTCAACAAGTATTCAATAGTATCCCACCATTCATCATCCATCACAAGAGATTTTATTTCGCGCGCTTTAGCTTCAATTACTTTATCTCCTTTATAATTCTTCCATTCGTCATCCATCACCATTTTTTCCAATCCCACATGTCGTAAATAAGGTACAATTTTGGACAATCAAGGTCGGCACTTCTAAGCGTGGATACAATTGGCTCTGTACACCTCAACAAGTATTCAATAGTATCCCACCATTCATCATCCATCACAAGAGATTTTATTTCGCGCGCTTTAGCTTCAATTACTTTATCTCCTTTATAATTCTTCCATTCGTCATCCATCACCATTTTTTCCAATCCCACATGTCGTAAATAAGGTGCAATTTTGGACAATCAAGGTCGGCACTTCTAAGCATGGATACATCTAAGCANATCTTGTTTCCGCAACTTTCAACAAAGATAACTCCGAATACTTTTGGAAAATGGCAAGCGCCATGTCATGATTCACCACAAAATTCTTTAAGCTACTCACTTGACCAATCAACTTTAATATCCATTCGCAAATTTTAAAGTGAGTTGATTTTTCTGAAGGTTGACACATACTTTTAAAAGCAAGATTCAAACAATGAAAAACACATGGTGTCCAAAATATGTGCGGAAAAATTTGCTCAACAATAGAACCGGCAAGCTTCATATTACCTGCATTATCAGTGATAACTTGGACAACATTCTCTGCATCGACATCTTCTATTACTTTAATAAATAACTTAGCAATATATTCACCATCCTTAATAATCCCACTTGAATTGATTGATT